GTTTTCCTGCAAATTTGAAAGGAGTCCCCACATTTCTTTTATCAGTAGATCACTCTGTGCTAGTTGTTCTTTGGAAGCACAGTTTGAAAACTGCTGCTATAAAACCTATCTTTGTTACTTGAAAGATGACCTTCCGTCTTTCACTTGCTGCAAAAGGGCACTGAGTACTAGAAATCAGAAAGCATCTGTACGAACCTGGAGCACCCAAGCTAGCATCCTGTTAAAGTTAGGACAACAGGCTTATTTCCTCTTAAAACAGCATATTGAGCATTCAGGTTTCAAAATGATTTACTTACTCTCATAGTTTTACTAAGACAGTGATCCAAGGCTCCTGCCAGTAAAGTCCAACCTTTACTCTAGTGCTGCAGCAAACAGAGAAGAAAACGTTAACAAGATAACCATTAAAGGCTGGGAAAGAAAGGAAAACTTGCACTAAGGAAGTTCAAAACATTCCTCCAACAGTTTCTTAACCTCAGCACTACTGACCTTTGGGGCTGGATAATCCTTTTTGAGGGATACTGTCCTGCATGTTGTATGACACTTAGCTCCAAACCTGGAGTCTCCCCACTAGTTGCCAGTAGCACCCCACCCCAGTTGTGACACCCAAGTATGTGTCTCCAGACATCACCAAATGTCCCCAGAAATGAGGGGGTAGGGGAGGCAAAAGTGCCCTGGTTGACAACCGCTACTCTATCAGCAGGAGAAAAAGGACTGCACAAAAAAAGAAAAAGATATAAGCGGCAGCTAGAGAAGTTTCTTAAAGCTTACCAAGATTGGACCAGTCAACTTCTTTCATTCTGGAAAACGAAAATCCAACCATAACAACCATCTAGCTCATCCATAACCAAAAATCCATTTACCTGGCAAGCTCCTAAAGCTGAAATCAATGTGGTTAGAATCCGAATTGAAAATCTTACAAACAAAATTGTTAGGAACTTAAAGAAGTTTTGGGGCGATACAAGTACATGCAAAGACAAACTAAGTGCTTTTCGAGACCTCAAGGCAAATTATCTCAAGATGGCAAATTGGTTTTATCTCCTCTGCCAACTGGTAGTGGCTGTCTGGAGCCCAGAATTCAACAGGATTCTGAGGCTGAATGCGAGCTCAAGAAGAGTAGAGAAGAGTATCTGCCTCAAATATCAATGTGTGCCACTAGCAGGTGAGGGGGGCGTGGTGACTGGTGAGCCCGCATCCTCTGGCTTGGTGCTTCGACTTCCTTTGTGCTTCACAGGTAGGCGCAGTGTCTTCCCCACGTGACAGTGCCTGGCTCACGGTAGGCGAAGCACTCTGGTGGGCTGCCTACAAGGCAATCCCCACCTTTACTCATCTCTTCTATTAAGGCAGGAAAACCCAAATACCAGCTTCCTGCCTCCATGGCAGCCAGGGTGGTCAAGCGACATGATTATAGTTAATGAGATGTCAGTAGAAGCCTGTTCAGGGGGCTTCTGGAAGAACTTTTACTTCCCTAATGACTTCCTGGCTTGACTGGGTAGAAAACTCTGAGGTGACAAACATTAAGGACAAAAGGCCACTGATAGCTAAGGACAACAGAATGGAAACAAAGAAATGGTCTGGGTCCTAGCTGGGCCCATAAAGCCACTGCACCACCTTAGAACCACCTACCTCCAGACTTCTTACAGGTGAGTTAATTCAACACCTTTGTTGCTTAAGGCACCATCATTAGGGCTTCTTCTTTCCGGTGCTGAACACATTCCTAACTGACTGAATAAACCTTCAACAGAGGGAGGCGAATGAATGAATGCAAAGTGAAATCTACTAACGGTTCAGAAGATTACATTTTTTTAAAAACAAGGTCTCAGGGTAGGGGTGGTGGTGTGATGAATTGGGAGATTAGGATTGACATATATACACTAATATGTATAAAATGGATAACTAATAAGAACCTGCTGTATAAAAAAAATAAATAAAATAAAATTCAGGAAAAAAAAACAAGGCCTCTAAGAATCTGTTCAACTTTGCCAAAGCATGCTGTTCTAGAATTATTGACCCAATTCTGTTCCAGCTTACCTGCTGTAAAAAAAATAAATAAAATAAAATTCAGGAAAAAAAAACAAGGCCTCTAAGAATCTGTTCAACTTTGCCAAAGCATGCTGTTCTAGAATTATTGACCCAATTCTGTTCCAGCTTTTTAATTGATAAAAAAGTAAACACAATCTCTTAAAAAGCAATGGAAATGTTCACATACAAAAATGCTGTAGAAACTGATTTTCACATTTTGGAAAAGAATGGAAAACCAAACTTAAAACACCAGGCTGTGACCTTGAAAAGTCTGCAACTGCTGTGGCTACCTGCAGGCACATATAGGCAAAAAGAAAAAGACCGATAGTAGCTGGTTGGCTGCCATTCCCTCCTACTTTCTTATTTTGAGATCTCTGACATGAATCTCTTTTTTCCAGTCCCTATCCCAGTCAAGTATTTGCATTCAAATTTCCAAGATCAAACAACAACCATTTTTTTCTTTTTGAGAAAAACAGGGTAGAACATAAATAAATATAAATAACATGTAAGTAAAATGTATTAAAAGGAGAGGAGTGGACCTTGGCAGTGCTGTTCCTCAGCAAGACAGTAGGTCCTCAACCAAGCTGATTCCCTTAGCTAGATGACCAATTTATATTTTAATCAAATCATTTACTCATACTTAAATAAGTGTATCTTAGAAAGAAACTTCATAGCACCAATGGAATGCCAGTACCATTTGCCATAAATAGGAGACAGGGCTTCCCTGGTGGTGCAGTGGTTAAGAATCCGCCTGCCAATGCAAAGGGTTCGAGCCCTGGTCCAGGAAGATCCCACATGCTGCAGAGAATTAAGCCCATGAGCCACAACTGCTGAGCCTGTGCTCTAGAGCCCGCGCCTGCGAGCCACAACTACTGAAGCCCGTGCAACTAGAGCCTGTGCTCCACAACAAGAGAAGCCCGCGCACCGCAACAAAGAGTAGCCCCTGCTCACTGCAACTAGAGAAAGCCCGCACGCAGCAACGAAGACCCAATGGAGCCAAAAATAAATAAATAAATTTTAAAAAAGACAAATCCAATGAAGACATAACCTTATTAAATTCTAGCTACTGTTACCTATTCAGATCTCTAAACTTGAAGCTTATTCTCTATTTTTTTTTTTTTAAAAAAAAGGGGGCTTCCCTGGTGGCGCAGTGGTTAAGAATCTGCCCGCCAATTCAAGGGGCACGGGTTCGAGCCCTGGCCCGGGAAGATCCCACATGCCGCGGAGCAACTAAGCCCGTGCTCCACAACTACTGAGCCTGCGCTCAAGAGCCCGTGAGCCACAACTACTGAGCCTGCGCAACTACTGAAGCCTGTGCGCCTAGAGCCCATATTCCACAACAAGAGAAGCCACTGCAATGGGAAGCCCGCAGACTGCAACGAAGAGTAGCCCCCGCTCGCCGCAACTAGAGATAAGCCCGCGCACAGCAGGGGCAACCCAACGCAGCCAAAAAATACATAAATAAAATAAATAAACAAATTAAAAAAAAAAAAAAGGTGGGGGAGTGAGCAAGAGGTGTTAAAGACAAGCTAACCACCAAGCTGAGACTTTCTCTTGGGCATGATCAGGACAGAAAGAGAACAGAAAAGGAATTAACTTTCTTATTGTGTGATTTCATTCTATTTAGTTCTATTTATATCCATTTCCCACCTAAAAGTGTCCCTTATACAATCCCAAATCATCTTCCCCTTTTGCTTAGAGTAAGAGCCCATTTCCTTAGTACTACAGCCTAAATTTATGATCCTGCGCCACCTGGCCCCAGCCCACCACTCACACTCCGCTCTCTCAGCTCTCACGCACTCACAGCAAGGACCCAAGGCCACATCTAGCCCACTGCCTGTTTCTGTACGGCCTGTGAGCTACGAATGATTTGGAGAGATGAATACTTGTAATCAATTTGACAACAGGGAACATTAATTTTGAACTCCAATTAAGTTAAACGTTGTACTCTCCAAAAGAAGAGTCCCATGCTTCTCATTAGTAGACCTGTATTACAAAATATTGTACTCAATTATAACATTTTTATTTTAGGCAATAAAAAATGTGTAGAAATGTGTCTTTTCTTGTTATACACGTATCTACTTAATATCCTCGAGTTTGCATCTTGAACAGCAGAGCCTAAAACATTTGCTATGCAGCCCTTTACAGAAAGAGTTTGCCCATCCCGGAGCTACACTGCGGGTCAAGTACACCAGGCTCTTTCCCGTCTCAAGGTGTCCACACTTGCCTTACAGATGGGAAGCGCTTTCCCCTGAGCTCCTCAAGGCTGGCCCTCCCTGTGGTTACTCAAGTCTCAGAACATCACCTCCTCCGAGAAGTCACCCTAACCCATGTAACGTACCCTGCCAGCACATCAGTCACATCACCAGGTTTTACTTCCTTCAAACCACTGTCTGGTACCACCTCTTTAACTTGTTAAAGTTTTTAATACTAAAAATAATAATGGCAGCAAATACTCATAGCACTGCACACAATGGAAGCATTTTACATACCAGGTTGAACGCTATAAAAGTGCCAGTCTGCAAGTCAGAACGGTCAACAGTGGGTAACTTCATAGGGTTCAACCCAACATATCAACTTGTTAGCAGCTCACAACCAACTATGAGGTAGGTACCAGATGAGGAAATTGTGGCACAGAGAGGTAGAGTAACCTGCCCGAGGTCACACCGCTAGTAAGTGGCAGAACAAGGATTTGAACCCAAGCTCAACACTCCCACCCCCAAGAATGTAAGTTGCAGGATGGCAGACGGTCTTGCCCATTGTCCCATCCCTCCCCTGTGCCCATCAAAGGGCCCGCCACGTAGCAAGCCCTTACAAATGCGCGATGCATGAATGAGTGAATGACTGTCCCTCGCAATCAGCGCCATCTGCCCGGACTCGCGGCCCGCTCCTCTTCCCTTAGGCAACCAGAGCATCAGTCCTCTGGCCGCGACGGAAGCGGAGAAGGAAGCTCTGGGCAGGCGGGTGCCCCAGGGGCTCACCTTGAAGTCGCGGCTGTGCTGCGGGGTGTACTCCAGGGTCCAGAGGGCCCGCACCAGGTGCGCCAGCTGCTCGGTGACCTCACCCTGGCCCTGCGCGCCGCGCCCCGCGGGCTGCTCGGGGTCAGGCGAGGGCTCGGGCTCGGGCCGCCCCGCCCGGTACTGGCCGAGCGCCAGGTACTCGGCGAAGAGCTCGGTGTTGCTGAGGCACTGAAGCGTGGCGTTCATGAAGCACGTGTTGCCGTGGTTCCGGAGCCCCGCCACCCCGGGCACCGGCTCCGCGGCGCAGGCGGGCGGCG